GATCACGTAATTTTGTTTGGACATAGATCTAATTAAACGTGTTACTTAAATCAAACGTAAGCTTGTAAGCAAGTAGAAATACGTTTATTTATTATTTATCTTTATACAACTTTGTCGAGGCTGTTGTATGAAAGTCTTCTGTACGATTCTTCCAATGTAATATTTAAAGTCAGAAACATAACGGAGACAAGACAGGTGCGTCACTCTCGCAGATATTGTGATATTACAGTATTCACTCGTCACTCGTCGCACCTCCTGGCTTGTATTTGTTTCATATGTGACGTAGATATAACTCTTACTTTTGTGATACACTGTGAAATGGAAAACTTGTATTAGAACTTGGCTTTAGTTCTATATTTGTTCGGTTAAAAATCTGTCTGAGACCTTTTACATGTATGTGTGACTTTAATATATACCATTAATAACCAGTCGCACAAATTTTAAAAGTAAAAAAAAAATATATGATATAATTACTATCTTATAAAAAAAGGTTCATTAAAAAGGAATTATTTAAATCTTTGTCTGGTAAAGATAAAGTTAGGCACGGTTTGTACTTAGGTTAGGTTTTAGATTTCATGGTCACTAAAGTATCTAAGATTATCTTATTTAATGTTTTAGTGATATATGTATACGAATATTGTGAAATATGTACACGATTTTATGAAATACGTATTATAACACTTTTTAATGTTTCTATACTGTTACATATACAAGACAATAAATATATATACATATAAATACATTGCTATAAAGGCACCATTTTCTGTATTAAATTAAAAGATAGATAGCTAGTATCAGATTGGGTATAGCTTACTCTTGTGCAGGGATCAGAAAAGTGTCTACTACCATTGTCAAAACGAACAAAAAAGGAAAAACTTACCTTGATGAACAACAGACGAACTGAATATAAAAAGAAACTTACCACGTGGTAGGTAAAAGGTTATTTAGAAAACATTTCAAGTTGAGTAAACGAATTGTGAGCGCTTACCACGTAAAATATAAAAAATCTAGTTAAATTAGTTTAGCTAATACTGTTTTGCGGTAGAAGCTTTCTCTGGATATAATAATCTTAAACAACTTTGAAGGGAAATTAATTGCAACTTTGGTAAGTGATCCCGATGATATTAACTTCATTAGAAAGTTTAAGTTTAAAATACAAATTTTCACTGGAGCATAAATTTCATCAATTTCCACGTAATGAATTATGTATTTTTTTTTCGCTATGTAGATTTTGAAAATTTAAAATATGTAGTTTATATTTTGGACAAACGTATAAGATAACAAATACGTGATTTAGTTTAAAAACCAGTCTAATCTATGAATGAAAACGGGGCTTGTGAGAAGGGGATATGTACTCTAAAATATTGTTTACTCATAATCCAAAATTATAAAATATATTTTACTATTCCACTCATGCTATACTAATATTATATTATTCTATCCTAAAAGTGGGTGTTTGTTTGTTTAGGGCGCAATGATGCAACAACTGTTTGGATTGGGCTGATGGCCCATATTTCCCTTTACTATATAGGCATATTCCCAACTCAGAAGTATTTTTGGGCTCCACACTAGTGGTTCCAGAATTTTCTATATATATATAGATAATCTATCTATCTATATATTAATAGGCAAGCATGTTTCTTTAAAACCTTTTTTCTCAGCTCGTGTGTATCGTAGGGAAAATCTACGCATACCGTTAGAAAGCTATTTTCCTGTAGGTGTGCAGAATCCCTTTATAAATTAAAATAGGCTCAAAAATAAGCACAAAAAATGAATTTGAAATTTTAAAAAATTAACATGGGTTTTATGGGTTGCTATGGTGATGACAAAATAACAACACAATATAAACAGAAAATCAAAACAAATGGAAGACATTCCAATCACATGTTTTATTTACAGTGTGGGATGAAAATAGAGAAGTTTGTACAATACATACTTTTGGTCGATTTTTCGACCACAGGGCGTGCTCTCGTACTTATTTAATACGCAAGCAGGATTTTTGTGACAATTACTCCTCCGAAACTGCTAAACCGATTGATATGTTTTTGGTGTCATTGGAAAGAGTGTAACGTGAAGTTGTACAGGAAACTTTCTTTTTAGGTAAATAATTAGAGAGTGAGGTCCTGGGGCCCTTTAAAGTTTCGTATTTCTCCATAAGATTAACATGTGAAACAAACATTGTTTTGAAACTCCAGCTGTTGTAGAAATGGAATATTACTAATTAATTGGTCTCCACGGAAGCATGAGAAAATTCACAATGTTTACATTTGCTTTGACATTTAAATGTAAACAACCAGAACTGTCAAATGCCTATTTCACAATTTCAGACAGCTGATACAAAAAAACAACTATGTGGTAGGTTTATTCAATCTTAAACTTTATGATAGATTATTATTTTATTTTCAACGATTATGAAACAGATTTTTCTCGTTGCGGAGCAAAAATTAAAAGTGAGAAGAAGAACATAGGTTAATTGTAAACAGTCAAAGTGTAAATTATCTATTTTGTATTAAAAATGTGTATAGTTTTGGTTGTTGGTTTGCGTTTAATGATATAAGTTATTAATTAATTAATTTTAATTTTAAGGATTTTAATTTTAATTTTTAATATTAAGGAGTATGCCTATGATAAATAACACCGTTTCAGCGTTCTGCCAATTTTTGCCTAACTCTGTTCTGTAGAGTTTAAAGTAGCCTACACCTTATTGCCTACAAATTGGCTAAATAACATAGGTACGGTAAATTATAAAAGCTGACAGCCTTTTTACGTTGACTTAAATTGTAAGCTTACCTTTTCCCGTCCATGTGCAGTTTGATGGTTAAAAATCAACCCTTTAAACTGGAATAGGACTGTTATGTAAATTGTTAGTATATCCGTTAGTTAATAATCTTTTAGTCGACTCTTTCAAATCATCGGAAATTATGACTGTTATTGGTTTTTAAACAAGTCATTTGTTTATAAATAACTCCTGTACTTCTTTGCAATTGCTCGATTTCGAGCAACATGTACACTAGTTATATTTAAGCATCAAAAGGTTACAAGGTTTAAAAACAGAGTTCCGTATTATTGATGTTTGCTTGAGTTGTTAAAACATAAATAGTTGAGGATACTAACTACACAGAAAAAAATAAGAAAACGGTTTAAGAAAGCAGTTTTAGGGGAACTTTTACTGTAGGCTATAGATTTCTGTTAGCAAAACCGTAACAGAACTAAAGGCATGAATCGCTAGACCAAGTTTAGGTTAAGATAAAATGGAAACACCCAAGCATCCAGTTGTGTCACTTGTTTAGGTAAACATTGTTGACGTTGTTAATTTCTCATGCTGTATGACATTTGCGGCTATACCTTAGCGGGAGAAGCTGCTGTTTCATGCTAGTGAAGTTGTATTGTATGTAGATGTTGTATATAGCAGGACCCAACGTTTCGTAAGATTATCTCATACTGCACGTTAGGAGTGGAACCTACGCGGTAGGCTTAGTTCTTCCATTATATAGTGACATGTGTTTTTGCATCGAAATAAAATAATGTAAATATATTTCAAGCAAATAAAAACTAAAAGAAAAAGGCTACAAAATAGGTTATAGACCCTTTTACGTAAATATTGCAAGATTATCACTATACCTGTTTAATGTTGTATGCATATGGTATAGAAGAACAATACATTTCCAAAAATAAATGAAGAATAGGCTTGCGATTAATTAGACGTGTTTTCGTTGGCTGTGCTACGGATAAGCTAACCTAGGCAATGTTTCTGTTATAATACATCCAATGTTTAAAACTCTATAGTTTTTCTGCATTTACATAAAGAACTAATACATCCAATAAGTATTGTAGTGTATTTAATAAATGGTATCCCAGACTTTAAAGGCCTGGGTGTTAAAAAAAACCACGGAAATAGACCAAGGATATGCTATGCCAAATACGAGAGAAAACGTGCACCAGCCTTGTACAAAATCAATTATTACTTTTAGACATCTTTTTGAGCTAAACAGTTTTCCAGATTGTTGTTGTTGGTAAATTTATTAAATGTAACAATATGCAGTATAGTAAATGCAAGCCCAAGCGTTGCATTGTCAACTATGCCCAACGACATATCATTGTTAATAATTTAGAATATAATAAAAATAAACGTTTTGTAACGTTATACGGTTATATAAATTATTAATTTTGATTTACGTGAGAATATTAATACTGTAATATATATGATTAGTACTACTTGCATTAATATAAGTAAGTTAGCGCTTGTTTAAGCTCGGTATTATTGTAAACACTTGTAAATTAAACAAAACTAGAGCAATATCTCGTAAAGAATATTTTATTTAACCATCCATAACTTATAATTATTGTAGTAGTCAAAGTATTTTACAGCATTTAAAATACTGTATTAGCTTACTTTGATGTTCAAAACCAAAAATATATAAATATACGTATTTTATTTAACCTTTGTGCAGGTGCTTTTATGTAAGAATTTATACTCTCTTTCTATCTCCTCTTTGTATTGGGGGTTTTGTTGAGATTGAAGAGAAGATTTCAGGGAAATAAGGGGAGTAAAGTGCTTTTACTTATACAATTTTATGTTCTAAGGCAAATCGGTCACAAAGCTTTCTAAGCTTGTTCCAAATGATGTTTATATCTACTTTAGTTATTAAAGTAGGATCTTGGGAAACATAAGACACTATTATCATACACCTAGGCAATACAAAGTGTTCGTCTTAAAATTCAAGCGAAGTAACAAAAAAAATCGAATCTGTATTATGTAAGTACAATTTATTTTTTTTCATTTTATCTTATTTAAATTATTGGCCATAAATCTATTCAAATAATTAAGGGTAAACTTGATTTTTTAGTTTCATGTGATACTTGTGTAGCATAAGGCTATTTAATTGTTTATTTAATCTAACTACAAGACACTCTTCTTCTAGAATGCCTCATGAAATCATATTTATCTGATGAGTTATTTATATTTGTAGCCTTTACAATATGTATATCTGATGTAGTACCTGTATATGAAGACAGACGCTATAGCCAGCACCACGACAACGGAGCTGAGCACTATACTGAGGATGGCGTATCCTGGCATCGCTAGAACACAAACACAAGAATTACACACGTATTTGACATTTAAAAATACTCTTCACCTAATTCTATTTTTATGAGGTTGATAGTCTCTTTAGACCTTCCATTTACCCGTCTACATTGGCTTGATGCGTTTGCAAAGAACGTATCAAGCAAACCTAGGGGTGTGTCTATGGAATAAAATAATAAACAGTACTGACAATATTAGAGGGTCCACTGAGCCACTGATATATTGCGCTGCCAAGGGTCGGTTGCGCTGCCTACTGGTTCAGTTATTGAGTCATTAAACCTGGAACAATCTGTTATTTTGTAAAGGAAAATTATATATTTACATCAGTAACTTTAATAGTCAACTAAGCACTAGTTTTCAGCATATGTTTAAAATATTTGTATCTTTTTCCGATGAATGAATATTTGTAGTTATATATGTAAAAACACGAATTTCAAATACATTAAATATAGGTATTACATTGACTGTCAAAGGTTATTAGTTAAGAAAGTGTACACACCACATAATTGTATAAGAGTACTCACATTAGTAAGTTGAAACATCAGAGACTATATGAATCATAATTATAATAATAATTTACTTTGAAAAGGGGCCCCGTTTTAATAGTGCGTTGAATACGAATCGCCTACTCAGTAACAGCAGTGCGTAGGCCTACTAAGAAGTTATAGTTTTATTCTTTACTTTATAAAAATTCCGTAGGTAATGTAAGGTTTACATTCAATAACAAATTACCATGTGATTCAACGTAATCTAAACTCCAAAGTATGTTAGACTGCAAGTTAGTAAGTTTTACCTGGTAAAGACTCTTGTGGCTTAGTGAATAATGAAGGACCACTTAATCAAACGAATGTACTAAATGAAGCGCTGAAACTTCTCGAGCCCTTAAATGAGATAAACTGTATATTATGCGCAAAGTTCATGGCTCTCATAAATAATATGATACATCTTAGCAATTTAGGCGCAAGCCTCTAAAGTGTTGAAGATAAATCGTTAAACTACTGTCAAGTGAATCCCACCTCAATTTCACTATGTGTTATAATCAGTCTTTATTTTTGCCACTATGCAGTTTGTTGTTCGATCTAATTCATATACTCATATTTGTATGATGGCTGGCGTTACTACAATTTAAAACAGAAATTTTACTAAGGGTACATTTTGAATATTGAACCTGTGAATATATTATAATGACAAGCCTATTGGTCTAATTATGGATAAACACAGTATCATACAGTACTGTAACTTCATGAATGATTTGGTTAAGTATTGTATTATAATCTTTCCTTAAATATGGGACTCCCATCATCATGTTTGGACACAATTTCGTCATTATAATCATCTTTGAAATTTCCAGTTATACTTGTGGATAGAATCAAATTTCTTTTAACTTTAAATAAATTTAATAGCAATTTATGGTTAAAACAATATGTATTTAGAAACTTGTTAGGTGAACTTTCACATTCAAGACTAAGCTCCCACTTTGCAAAAACTCACGACTTAATAATTTATAGTTGTTAAGACTACAAAAGTTTAATTAAGAGATTCATGTACTCAATGAGCTTATATTTTAAATTGGTAAACTCTCCCCTGAGAGGCCTTCATTATTACAAGAGCTGTTTTGACCTTGGAATATGTTTATAAAAAAAGGTCCAATGGAGAAAATAGCTTCAAAGTCAAAATTCAGGGATTAGTAGTTTTAGTGGTCTTGAGATATAAACAATTTATTTTTAATAAAACTAAGGTAATCATTTAGAGTTCGTTGTTCATAGGACATGAAAAGCACAATTGCATGTGAACAATTATTTATAGCTTGTTAAAGGGTGATACTTAATAAAAAAAATACAAATGTCTGGATTTAGAATGTCCAAAAAAATAGTTACAACAATGAAGAGTCAAGAAAATCAAGGTTTTATTCTCTTTTAGGTTATAAGTCATTTGTTGTGTGATCTTGTTATACATTATGGATTTGAATAGTTGGTTTAGCATTTAAAAGGAAAAAAAACAGAGATTGCAAATATAAAAGTCCACATTGACCATGCCTTAAATGTCTGAAAATACAAAACGTTTATTGATTTGACAATAGTTACTTCATAAGACGTATCTCATGAATTAAGTTTGTAAAAATTACTGGGATTCATAAAAAAAAACTTTAAAATGTATACATGGCAACTAAATGAACATTATATAATGTTATGTATTAAAAAATATGTAGTTTTAATAAGAACACATGTGTTTAAAAATTATGTTCAACTTTTGGCGATACTTTCACAAAAACAAAGTTTGGCCATCTTCTTAAAGCTGTATACCGTGTAGCTTCGACACTTTTCAAGGAATGGTGCTTAGATTTTACGCTCTCTGCAACCTTGCCGCGGTACAAAGCTTTTTCAGTTTATGGTGCATTTGAGGATTCCTATAACCACAACTCCGAGACCTAGCTGACCCTTAGCCGTTGTACCTACGCACACCAAACCATCACATCTCGTTTTATGGCCCATACTAGTCTTCCAATAACCACAACTCTGGGACCTAGCTGACCCTTTACCGTTATACGAAAGAACACCAAACTATCATATATGGTTTATGGCCCATACAAATCTTCCAATGACCACAACTCCGGGACCTAGCTGACCCTTGATACCTAAGCACACTAAACCATCACATCTTGGTTTATAAATAATAAATAAATAAATAAAAATGCCTTTATTAACGAGCGTCTTTCAGTACAAGAACTGTGTTACAAAGTAACTCATTTCAGTATAACTAACTTAAAAATATACACAAATTGTTTTACAAAACAATGTGAAAAAACAAAATTATAAGCTATATACAATATTTTACATCTTCTTTACTTTTCTTTTGAAAGCCAGGACCCCCAGCTGTTTTTGTCCAAGTGGAGATCATTGTATATCTTTGGGCCAAAGTAAGAAAACCCTTTTCCATCCACTTCTAGTCTTACTTTTAGAATTTGGAGCAAGGCGTTTTGACGGGTCACACGTTGAGTCACTTCCCCACGTGCCACACGCCTCTCCACCAAGTACTTAGGCTCTTGCTGAACCAAGACCCCGTGGATGAGGCTACAAGTCTGCACCCTGCACACGGCACCCATTGACAGCAACCCCGCAGCATCCCGGAATGTGGATACGCGTTCACGCTTACGGATACAGTAAACGAAACGAATTGCGGAGTTCTCTCATATCCTCAATATGAGAGATAGGCCTAGTACAATTCGAAGAAAAGCTGAAGATATTGACATTTAAGGTAAATCCTTTTAGAACCGTTCGGGGAGAAATGTTTAAATTGTATCAATAATGAATTGAAGTTTATATAAAGCCATTGTATTTACACGAATATTATAACATTACTTTTTAAAGATAAGGACCCATTACCCATGTTATGGCAATCAACTTTTTAATAAAAGCATGAAAGTTTAATAAAGTTATCAAATATGAAGTAGCTTGGTTTGTATTAAGCAGAACAAACCTCCATTTATAGCCTGCTACTGTATTTTATTTTTAATCCTTACGTATTTACCAGTGCCTCTTGGCATATTTGATTCATAATAACTAGTATTTCCAATAAGTTTAAAGGCGAACTAGGTGATGCACCCTTAACTACAGGATGTTTTATAGGTAGGTGACGCTGTATATTCCTATAACCACAACTCCGAGACCTAGCTGACCCTTAGCCGTTGTACCTACGCACACCAAACCATCACATCTCGTTTTATGGCCCATACTAGTCTTCCAATAACCACAACTCTGGGACCTAGCTGATCCTTGACCGTTATACCTACGCACACTATATTCAACTTCAATATTCAACTTTGCAATATATTTGTGTCGTAATATATTATGATCAAACAATAAATGCAGGCCCAAATTGTTATAAAACTAGATATATTCACAACTTACTTTTGCACAGAGCACCGTCGAAGCCACATATAGGAGTGTCGGGGGGAGGCTGGGAGCGACCTCCGGCCCAGTGTATCTTGGCTCCAGGAACATACTCCAGGGAGTGGGTCACCCCAATGTAGTTGGCGACAATCTGAATATCAAAAATGCCAGATTTAGTAGAGGGAGTTTACAAAAACAGATAAGGTTGTATTCGTCTGTAAGTGCCATCCTTATGTTTGTAGTGGGTGGGCCAACTGATAGAGGGGGGCTTATATGGCATTACTAATTGATAGTCATGACAGTGTACACGACACACGGTTCGATTCCTGATTTTTAACTGATGTAGCAAATCACACATAAATGAGGACATGTTGTTAATCTTAGCTATAGAATCTTACGTTGATGTATTTAAAATCAGACACATACTTTCTCCCATTAGCTTGTCAACAACCCGTATTATGGGTAAGTGGAGTCATGGGAGTAATTGTAGTATTTAATTGGGAACGTTGCATTAACTTTCAAACAGTACGTTTTACAGCAATTGGGGTTACATGATTTATTTAGAGTTAAAAGGACTATAACATAACAAATTTTAGTCAAAATCAAGCAATCCGTTTTTTTACCTATTTTTCCGTTATCGTATTGATTTTTGTAAAAATATTACATAAGTCACGATCAATTTTAAGTAGTTATCATAAAAGGAATCGCACTGAATATGTTATAATTAATATTAGAGTAATAGTTAATGGTTACAGACGAATCTTCGCTATACAGTTAATCGGTCAAGCTTTTTTAAAATTATTTATTAGGTATTTGTCTAGTTATTTTCTGGGTTTTTATAGAAAAGTCACCGGTGGAAATCAAAATTTTAAACATCTTGAAAAAGTTTGGAGATAGCATGGATTATGCCATCCCACACCCCAATGGTTCATCAAAATTGGACCACAGGTGTGATCTGTTGCACTATACTCACACATACATACATAACTTCAAAAAAAAAAAAAAAAAAAAAAAAAAAAATGTTAGGTTCAGGGAGACCCAAAACGGATATATACACCTATATCTCCAATACGAGAATTTGGAAAAAAATATACTTTCTCCTTAATATGGGATATTATCCTATATGTAGGGGGAAAAACACATAGTTTGGGGGTTTAATGAACCCGCAAACCTGGAACAACATTTGAAACTGTTTAAAACCACACCGAGAGTGTTCAGTGGCGTCCATATGTTACCGAATCAAAGCAAACAAAACTTTCCAATGTGTTTGGGTGGGGTAATGTTGTTAGGCTACCCGTGTTTGTTAATTTACTCCCTTTGATGTTCTTCTAATTGATTCGCAGCACAAAAATATACGAACCAAAGGAATGTGCCGCAACTTCAATGTGTTCAAGGTCACGGATAGCTTTAAAGGTTATACAGATAAACCTTAAAATGAAATTAAGGAGTGTTTAAAATAAAATTCTAGCTTCTGACAAGTCATAATAGGAATATTTTTTTATTTTTTTATAATTTTTTTATAATTCATTATGTAATTTATCAAACCTTAACTTCCAGTCACCTATTAAAGTAAATAATATAATGATCCGTCTAATAAGTTCCCAGGCCAAGAAATATAGACGTAACATGGTGTTCAAAAGAAAATAGACATTTCGAATGTAACTACATTTAACGAAAATAAATGTATAGCACAGATAAAGCAATGTTAAATAAAATAATAGTTTTGAAGAACGGTTGTTGTCTGGTGACGTGACACCACGTTATTATTTAAGTCAGGGAGAGAGATGTAATGTGTTTAATTTTGTTTTCGTTCCGTGCAGTGATTACTCTACAAATGTATTTTTACTGTAGGGTCGTAGAATATTAATATTAATATTTTATTTTAATGATAAATTCTAGTTAGAATAAACGATGGGTAAATAACAATGGAAGAGGGTATACGACGTATATCAATAAATAAACTTATCAGGCCTATCAATCATAAACGAGTTTATATACAGTAGTTAAATCATACATGTAAAAGGTAAAGGTTTTTAAAAATTGTATTTTATTGCTAAAAACCCAAAACTAGTTTAGAACAAAAGTGCTGAAGCAAAAAAGAATAAAAGTCATCATAGGTAATGCAATATTCAGCCAGTTGATTAAATGTACTCAGAACAAACTTTCTCTCAGTGGGCTTTGATCATGACCAGCTCATTTCGCCAATTTTAAAGGGGATTTCTGCAACCAAAAGTCTTTGTTCTCTGAGGTCCATGCGAAATTGAAAAAATGCCTTTAATGAGCTTAAAATAACTTCTGCTCCAAAGCTCAAAATCGTAACGACAAAGGTCATGCGATTAACTAAATGATAGTATAATAATATCAGCATCACTACTAAAATTTGTATTCCTTTTTAGCTTCATAATGCTACGTATTGTATTATTTAATCTATAAATAAAAACATAACTGATTAAATTAAATATAAAAAAAAACAAATATTAGTATTTTTAATTCATTTAAAAGTATTATTATGTAATATTTTGAAACCTATGTTTTATTAGTTGGACTTTATTATTTACAATCAAAATGGGGATTACACATATAGTTATAATTATTACTTATAAAAAGACAGAGAAAGAATGAAGGATCGAACCCCTCTGTACACGGTGGTCGGTAACAAAGCTTCAACAGGGCATCTCACATTCATCACTCGCTCATTTTTGAGTTGAAATACGCCCAGCTTTGAGTAGCATCCCCAGCTGACCACGCATAGTATAATAACAACAATAATAAAATAACTTTCACGATAAAAAAACCTTCAAAAATTTAATGAATTTAATAATAAGTAGGTTTTCATCGTAACTTGCAGTAACTATTCCTCCAAGTATAAGTTTTAACAACAAGTAAATTTACTTGTTTACGTACCTTAAACTCTCCGTTATCTGGGTCCATATCTAGCAGTGAGTAGTCTGCTATGCGGTCTCCATTGGCATCTATGTTGACATCTCCCGTTATACCTGCCACAGATAAACAGACTAATATGTATACAATATTTTAATACCATATACATACTAAGGAGATATGATATAAAATTATTGTTAGTTGAAACGACATAGTTGTAAGTTTTAAAATATAATAGCTTTCAGACACATTCCATTAAAATAACGCTTCAGTTACTGTAACTATACGGCAAACAAATGTGATCTTTATTCAATAGAGTAGACAGTTGCTTAGAGGTTTAGTCAGTCCATTGAATGCCCAATGAAGAAAGTAACAGCTAGTCAAGTAAGATATATTAGCAGTGAATTTATTTTCAAAATACAGTCCCCAAGATAGATGGGTGTTCTTGTAGATTTCAAAGTTTGTTGCATAAAGCAGGGAGAAACCTGATTTACAACTTAGAAATTCATGAAAAGGAAGTTGGAAAAAGTTTTGAGATATGTTTGGACCGAAGGACTGGATTGTTTTTGGTAGGATGAATATGATAATCGATAGAATTTATATTTAAAACAATAATTGTATCTTTGAACTAAAGTATAAATAATTCATTCACTAACGAGTGAAACAAAGTTTAGAAACCACGAATAAACTTAAATGGCTTTGTTTGTACATGCATGAATGCAAATTTGTTTGTGTGAAAGATGTAATTCCAACTCATAACACAATATTTAAAAACAAAGACTTTTAAATTCAACTCTTTTGTTAACATAAATAACAATTTATAGGCTTTAAGCAGCTAAACAATAACATATTAAGGGTTTTAAAATGCAATAATCAAACTCTTGTAACACACAGAAGACTTCCAATTTCTGGCCGCAATGGATCCCAGGAAATACGAGCCTAATTTTACATTGTCTGAACTTCCTATCCGTATCAAGTATAAATTTAATAATGAAAACTCTTTGCTAGATGCAATTAATTGTTCCAAACAATATAATAAGTTTAGTAAAATAAAACATATAGAACACAGAAAACAATATTTACAAAGATTTCAATTGATAAAGCAATCACCAGATTTTCTCATTCAAAGACGAAAGGGTCTAGCCAGGACAGTTTTGCGCATTAAATCAGGCTAGGCCTAGAATGTGATGGCATTATCTTATTGATAAAAGCCATTTAATGATTTGCTTGACTAAAACCCTTATGGAGACGAGTCGTTCTTATTGTCATTTGGGGCACGTCCTCACGGCCATCGTTAAACTAATCTAAACAAATTTATCCTAGTATAGTTTTTTTTTTTTTTTCTAGAGACAGGAGGGAAAATCCTTTTACGCACACAGGTAGCCAGCCTGTAGTGTGAGACTCCTGAAATAATCAGACTACTCACAATAAAACACCCTCTACTCTGTTGGACACAGACCTGGAATTGTTTGTTACGTTACTTCAAGTCAGGCCAACATGTGACCTAAGCCCTCAGGGCTCTCACCGTTTCTGGAATTTAGATTCTTTATGACCTACACCTCATCCCGGTCAAGGTCGAGCTTCTTGGCACGGAGAATACCCTGTATGTAATGTGACACACAGGTCCAATTGTCCTCACCCTCCGTCATCATCGGTATGACCGTGTCCACCACAGCAGTCCTACTAACTGTTAAGCCTACAGGCGGGGCCTTTCCCAACGCTTCACCATGTAGTCCCCTGGTCCAGCGTCCCTGTCATCATCTCTCCTGCCACAGCTGGTAGGTGCGGGTGCGTTCCTCTGTTCGTGCCTAGTCCTCCCCACGGCGCTGATAAATTGCCTTTCTCTCCGACGCCAAAGGTTTTACGGGAATGACTCCAGCAACCACGAAGACGGCGGGGATCAGACACTGTTCGTTTGGCAAATGCTACTCTTAGTGCTTAATGCAACGCCATCTGCGTTGGCCTACCCAACCAAATATCCTAGTAGTATGGTACTAAGAAAAGAAAATAAACAAGTAAAAAGGAAAAACACTTATATGGTTCAAAACTATTTTAGGACGGCTAGTATTGCTGAAACTGTCGTTTGAAATACATGGCATGTATGCGCCCCTTACTGTACAGTACACGTATAGTCTATATATTAGGCACGTGTAGGTGTTGCCACGTACCCTCGAAGGTCCGGTTCCACATGCGCCGCGTGATGGCGATGCCATCCCTCTGTGAGCCACCCTCCTCTAGAGTCTCGTTGAGGGCGAGGGCGTACAACACCACGGCGTCGTAGAACGCTGTTACGAACGTCGACACAGACTCGTTACCAAACGTGAAGTTGAACTCCTCCTTGGCCAACCTCTTCACCTGCAAACAGAGTGTCAAAGTCAATCATCTTGTGGTTATAAAAATCTTAAAAGCAATCCTTAAATGCAATACACTATCAAACTTTGCGCAATTTCTTTATCCATCTACTGTAAAATAGGTAAAACATCTTATTAAAACTCTTAGATCTATATATTAGTCCGTATAAGTATTTAAATTTCCATTGGAACTATCTAAATCAGCGTTTTTGAATAATTCTATTACCAGACATGATTATTTAAACGATGCATTTAATAGAGAGTAGCTCGAGTGAGTTAAGGATAGAATAAAATCAATATAAAGTTCTAGATGACATTGGCAACTCTTTAAAAACTGGTGCTTGAGTTATTAACTCACTAAAAAGGTTTCATGAAAATTTCAAATTTCGAAACTTTTTTCGCTGAGTAGACGAATTTAAGTTTTATTATCATCCCTTACACTATCAGAGTGTTTAAAACTTTGTAACCTAATTTTAAATTTACTTGCTGTGGGGTGAGCACTTAAGAAAAGATAAGCTAAGAGTTGAATATAATAATTATGATAGCTTAAAAAATAACTTGTATTTGTTACTCAACCAAATTCGGTTCAACATCATTTATATAACACCACCACCGCATCAAATCTGCAGACAAAGAGAATTTCTATTTTCATGGTTGAATTTTCACTAAAATGTTTCCATAAAATTATCATATTATTCCATATTTAACAAACTACAGCAGTTTATTTACTCTCCAGTGATCCAGTGAAAAGACTCTGCGTAGCCATTTAGCGTAAAATAATGTTCTAATATAGAATATTATTAATTTATTTAAGTTCTACAAAATGGGTAAGTAATAAATTGCGAAATTGTATGCTATAAAGGTAAAAATAGAAAACTCTAATATTTACCCCTGGATAATATGAACTATAAAAATATATTTGTCCTTTGATCTACACACAGAAACAAATGGTTCAACGAGTATTTGCATTTACTGCTAATTAGAAATACAGGATTTTATCAGAAAAAGTACATTGACCTTGAAGTACGGAGCCTTACAACGAGAACAAGGTGTTTGCTATATCCCTTTAGGAAAATTCGCTGAAATATCATAAATTAGCTATTGAAAGAGAACATAATTAATCGTTTAAAACCAAAGACGAGAGGGTCGGAATGCTGATGTTCAAAGTTTGCTGTAAACTTGAGAATAGTTTAAAATTGGCGCTGATGAACTCTAAAGAATTAAACACTGTGAAGTGGTTCTCCAGAGTTGGAACTTCTCTACACAGTTAAATTACTTTATAAACGTACTTCAAGAATATTTAAATAATGAAAGGGAAGTGTTAGACAATTTTCAAATATAATACAAGATTAAAAAAATTATGACTAAAACAAAGTTACTTAAACAATTCATCACTCTGTACATGATGTACGTGGATGGGAATGATAAACATTTAAATTCGAAAGCATGATTTTGTCTTTAATCTAGATTTTTTTAAGTAGGGTATATTTTGTATTCTTACACTTATTTGATGTAGAAAAACATAACTTTCTTATAACAATCCCCCTACTCTAAAAAACATACTCGTAGGAAATAAAGTGGTGAAAAGAAAAATGTACAATGAACTGTCGCGCAGTGCCCTTCGTGGAATTGAAACGCAATCCATGCTTTATAATTGTTTAATAAACTTTCAAAATGTATCCTACCTTTGACATTGATTTAATTAGTTCAATATATGTCCATTAGAAATTTTCTGCTATTGAAAGGATAAGTCATTGGTCTCCCTAATGATTTTATTTTATAAAAATACTTTCGAATTATAAATAAGCTGTAAGAAAGGGGATTAACCCCGTACCCACGGTGCTCATCTATGCAGACACTCTGTTCACATTACACTTAGTCGACTAGTTGGTGTGAACAGAGTTGAACAGTAGCATGAGCATCGATTTACAAATTCCTTTCCCAGCTGATGTGAGCTAGGCGATGACCGGTAGGGCTGACTTCCAAGAAACACCGTTAACCTATTAGCCACACACCCTATCGGTAATCAGCCAATGAGAAGGGCTAATGATGAAGATGGAGGGGTCAAGACTCTTGGAGCTGGAGGATCTGAAGAAAAAACATCGAGGAGATCACCACGGGCCACCGGAGAAAGAAGATCGGGAGTTTGGGAGTGCGTGTATCGGTGTGTGTGCTTCTGGGACAATAGACAGTATGTAGAAAGAATAAAATATCTAACTAACACTTTGTCAAACATAAAAGTCATATAATTTGTCAGTAACTAATTCTTTTATATTTTCAATTGATTTTCTTTTCTTGTAAATTTAACGTTGCAAATTAATTTATCTTATTATTGTTGTTTTTTGCATTTTTCAAAGTTTTCTTTTGCTGTTGTAACACTTTTAACTTTTGTTGTTTTCGTAATTTAAATTTTTGTTCATTACACGTTGAGTAACACCCTTAAGCAGTCTTATGTCTCATTAACCTAACACCTCTTCACTAAGCTAAGCGAGTGAATCATTTTAGGAAACTTAATCTTAAAGTGAGGCATGGGACTCGCATGGTGGAGGCGCCGGGTACCGATCCCGGTACCTCTCACAAAAATTGTAGTCATTAAAACGAACACTTCAACTTACATTGTAGAGACCGAAAATAATGAATACTGCAATGAACGCAATTCTAACCTTTGCTTGATCCCAAGACACAATTTACAATATTCCAAGTCATCAATGTGTGCACTTTATTTATTAAATGGTACAGACATTTCAGACCTAAAAAGTCACTGTGAATTTCATTGCTATGATTCACCTAATCACGTGATTGTAAAAGAAAAATCAGTTAACACTTTTCTAGTCACCAACATAAAAAGTGACTTAACAGTCAATTGTTTGAACAAACCCAACATTAAAACCATACCAAAAATGAGAACCGGAACTCTAGAGATTAGATTACCTTGTGACTGTTCTGTTTCCCAAGGAAAAACAATAATCATTGACACTATCATTCCTTGTGATTCCAGAGACCATCAATCACCAGCCATTTTTCATTTAATTCCTCTTTCATGGACAAATTTAAACTATCTCAAAGTTGACCCACTAGACAGGATCGATAGATCAGAATTCAACAACATCACAAACTTCATAATAGACGATTGGAATATCACTACTCCCACCTTTGTTGTAAAGAATCTAGAACCTGTTAAATTGTTTAATCATATAACATTAAAGAATAATTGGACTGACATTTTAGATGATAGAAGAGTAATTTTGTACATTTTATTAGTCTGGATTGTAATATTAACAATCTTACTCATTATTTCAGCATATTTCATCCACATACTCAATATTAAAATGAATCTAATCACAAAACCTCAAACCCCTCAAAAAGACTATTAATGTAACAAAGTGTTACCCAGAATAAACCATTAATAATCTCAACATCAAAAAATAATTTATAATAATAATTTAAAAAATAAAACATCTTAACAAACAGCTAAAATTTAAATAGTTCAAAATTAATGAAACAATCAATTAACTTAAGGAGACTCGATGGGGCGAAAGAAGACGTGAGCGACTATGAGCTATACACCACCAGCTCATTCTACCGCGTCGCTGGAAGGGTCGCGAAACAAGAAAATGCGCCGATCCTCAAGATCGCGTCGCGTCGCAGGAAGGGGGGAAGAAGAGTCGGAACGCACATCAAGATATCCGTTCGATTCCCACCTTCGCGATTGATGTTTCCGCGTATCTCCTTAAGTTGTTTTTTTTTCTTTTTTATTGTCAACCGGTGGTAGGTTGACGTTTTAACCAGGGGGGTGTAAGAAAGGGGATTAACCCCGTACCCACGGTGCTCATCTATGCAGACACTCTGTTCACATTACACTTAGTCGACCAGTTGGTGTGAACAGAGTTGAACAGTAGCATGAGCATCGATTTACAAATTCCTTTCCCAGCTGATGTGAGCTAGGCGATGACCGGTAGGGCTGACTTCCAAGAAACACCGTTAACCTATTAGCCACACACCCTATCGGTAATCAGCCAATGAGAAGGGCTAATGATGAAGATGGAGGGGTCAAGACTCTTGGAGCTGGAGGATCTGAAGAAAAAACATCGAGGAGATCACCACGGGCCACCGGAGAAAGAAGATCGGGAGTTTGGGAGTGCGTGTATCGGTGTGTGTGCTTCTGGGACAATAGACAGTATGTAGAAAGAATAAAATATCTAACTAACACTTTGTCAAACATAAAAGTCATATAATTTGTCAGTAACTAATTCTTTTATATTTTCAATTGATTTTCTTTTCTTGTAAATTTAACGTTGCAAATTAATTTATCTTATTATTGTTGTTTTTTGCATTTTTCAAAGTTTTCTTTTGCTGTTGTAACACTTTTAACTTTTGTTGTTTTCGTAATTTAATTTTTTGTTCATTACACGTTGAGTAACACCCTTAAGCAGTCTTATGTCTCATTAACCTAACACCTCTTCACTAAGCTAAGCGAGTGAATCATTTTAGGAAACTTAATCTTAAAGTGAGGCATGGGACTCGCAAAGCATAGACTTAGTACTAGCTTATTATTAGTCAATGAGTCATAAAAACCTTAAAACCTAATAACAACAAAACTGAAATAACTGGTCTCCAGGTATTGCATATTTTTGCATAATTTTCAGACCACAGTTTGACTTGCCTCAAAGCTGAAGTTTCTGTAGGCCTCGTTGTTTGGTGTCCTGGCAGTTACCGTGAGAAGGGCCGAGTACGCCTTCCTGGCCCTAGCGTTCCTCTCAGCGGAGTCCTCCCTGACGAACCATGGGTTGTGTCGGTTCATACTGCAACATACGACACCACATCACTGCTGTATCTGCACACATCTTGTCACCAACACCAGACACAGAGTGGCACATGGCGCATTGCTCTGCTAATTACATCTCTGATCACCTCAATTAACACCAATTGTCTGCAGCTGACCGTTGATCATAAATCCTTCTCTCATGCAGTTTTGTGATGGAAACTTAAACAGCACAAAACACTGCAAACAGACTATTTTCCTCACTAACTCGTATGATTGTAGATTATATTACAACTAATATTGTTTAATATGATGAAATTAGTTTTGTGTAGGACAATAAATAAAATTAGTGTCATGAGAATAAGAGTAAGCCCAAAGCTAAAGATTTATCGCTTATCATGTTCCTAAATGAGAAGGAAATAGTTATTTGTGCAACTAGTGAGAAAAGTGAGCAATTGACTCACTCGAGAGAAATCCTTACTCACGAGCCGTAGGCGAGTGAGGAATGGTTTCTCGAGTGAGGCAATTGTACTTTGAACTCGAGTTGCACATTATACTTTTCCTACAGTTACCATAAAACAAATAAATTGGTGAAGAAACATAACCTATTTTTACACAGAAGTGAACTGTTAATATAACATTTAATGTGAAGTGACAAATACAACAGTACAACAGCTGACCAGCTGATTTACAGCCAGTGCTGCCAACGTATTTCGCGCGCATACGACGTTGCCTTCATGTTACGCGCTCACTATTTCGTGCCTTCACGTTGCAAATCTGGAGTGAGACAAAGTAATTAGAGTGAGACAATGTTAACATTGTCTCACTGATGAGCGAATTGGCCGCTTTGCTTTCTCAAATCAGTGAGAGAACATGTACATTGTTAGGTAACTGTAGGAAAATATAATTTCCCATTTCAAATCCTCTTTAGTGATAAGAATGTTGGTCCTCCTGATGTTGGTATCTGACATTTAAAAATATATTTGTGATCGTACAATTACTTCAAAAATCTATCAAAACAATCGTTTTAAACACATTTCAATCACAAATTTCACATATACATAAGAAGCCCTATTAATTATCAAAAGATGAAAAATAATAGTACCGGTATGTATGTAGAAAATATCACTTTTTATAACTTAAAATTTTAGGTGGTAAGGTAAAGCCTACTGCATGTTTATGAAGTAGGCTAGCAACATAGTTCTTTTATCCTTGAGTGCAATATGTTCAAAGGATATAAATATTACACTCTACATGATAAGATTTTTACTGGACATTCAATCATAAACGTCCTAAAACAAATCATTTTATATGAAGGAGAAAAACAAATAAATCAACAAATAATTTGATATTTTACAAGATACCAGCTTTTCGAATTGAAAAGATATTTCCTCAGACCTTAAAAGAAAAACAAAACGGGCAAGTTTCTCTTATTGTTTTCCCATCCCAGTGGGGTCGGGTGTTATTACCGAACATATTTCTTTTAATATCTTTCTTGTCACACTCCGGTTTAGGCTACTGTTATTTAAAATCACTCTTTTGGGAATACACCGTTGCGAGAATACTCATTAGTATGAAAATGTGTTACTTTGAATTATAAGCTATGTTTTGATTGTGTTTTGGAGTTCTTGTTTTTTGTGCTTTTGGTACCATGGCTAAAAACTATGTAATTAATTTAACTTTAAAGGCACAACTTCGCAATTAAAAATATTTTCATATGGTAAACATGTGATTTTTAAGGCCTTAAGGGCCTTGAAACTGTTGACAACGATGATGCTGCATGTTGTGAACAATAACAAAATTGTTAGGAGAGTGAATAGACACCACCATACAGGGTGTCATATTATTAAATTTCAAAATATTTAACAGGGAAAATTATATATTTCACATACGTTTTAACCATCTTTTCAACCGAAACTCAAGAACTAAATTTGAAACACCGTCAATTATTTGGCTGAAATACGTCAGTATTTTTAACATTTTCTAATAAACTGGTCGTAATTGAAATAATTATCGTTACTTGATTACTCCTAGTTACAATCACTATCTAGTTACCATGATATAATTAACATATTTAGTTTATGGGATAGTTTATAGATTTTATACAATATGTCAAACTCAAAATCTGAATTCGGACAAAGTTAAAAAATACCCCCGCCGCAGCAAACCTGCCGACTAAGCGAATTTCCATTTGTCTGAATTGATTTTCAGTTAAATATACTTTAATAACATTAGGTTTAACGAGTACCTAGGTTTGCTGCTACAAGGAAACTAATAAAGTGTGTTTTTGAGTAAAATATTGATAGCTTAGTACAAAATAAATAAATTTGCCAAGTTTGATCAAAATATATCCATAAACAAGCAAACTACAACATTTGACAATATTCTCCATAAGAATAACATGGGAATTTTAAATTTACAATTTTTTTAATTTTCTCCGTTACTAACAATCGAACAAAAATACTTTTACATACTAAATTATTTGTTTTTTTAAGCTCTTTAAAAAGGTCTAAAGAGAAATCGGGAAATTTTGTGTTTTGAGGGTCAAAAGTGAGAAAAACCAATTTTTACCCCATAAAACCCCTTGTAAAGCCCCGTTCCCATGGTCCGATCGTGCTGGTTCGCGAACTCATTCAAGTTTATCCCGCTTTACACCTTTAAACTAAATTTCATCAAAATCGGACAAAAATTACTCAAGTTATCGCGTTCACGGACGTATATATATATATATATATATATATATATATATATATATATATATATATATATATATATATATAAGTCTATATATATATATATATACATATATAAAAATTTGAACGAATGGTGTTTTTGGCCTCTGGGGACATCAAAATGAAAAAGTAAATCGGTCCCGGGTCTAGGTCTTACCGTGCCACCTACGGTAATAGCTACTTCCCTATAGGGAAATTCGCTAAAATGTTACCAACTTCACGAAGCGGACAGTGTAAAATACTCACGTTGCAGTTTGTGCATATTTCTATTCGGACATTTGCAGATTCGAAATGTCCAGAACGGGTTGAGGTCGTTAAGTTCGTTAAACTAATTAACACAAGTGTCGAAGTCAAAACGTTCTTCATAGATTGAGCAAATCTACCACAACACAATGTGAGCAAAAGTAATTGTCCAAGTTGGGTTGTGGGTATTATTTTATAGTTTGCGCAAACACCGAAATATCACTTTTCACAGACCAGGAGTGTAGTTTTATGCATGTCACGCCCAGCATTTACACTGTTGGCGATGAACGGGCATGCACGATGTATCCTTTGCCACACAGGTGTGATACAACAGTGATTCAGTTGATCTCTGTGGTGCAGTAGTGCTTAAGTGTCACGCGATGACTTGATTTGACAAATGACAAATGACAAATTCTTTATTTAACCTGCCCTGAGTTAGACCAAAGGTCCACTCTTCCCCCAGGACAGGAACAACAAATATACAAACAACATATACATTTACAGAGTTGTGGACTATGAAAATCTAAAATTTACTTCTAATAAGTGAAAACACAAATTATATAACAATACAGAAGTGTAAAAAAGAAATTAACTTACACTTACAAATCAAAACATAACTAAAGATTTTATCACCTAAAACTATTATGGAATTGTCAAACAAAATGAGGATACCTAATATTTATACATGTGTAGAAATTAATAGTTGGAAAAACACTAAATCTTCATTACGTAATGATTTTATACTTCATATCTTTGTAATAACAGCTTTTTTACTGCTTTAGAAAAGCTTTTAGGGTTATTAAGGTTTTTTATCTCACTATCTAAATTATTGATAAGTCTAATCGATAATACATGGAAAGATTTGTTATATATCATCGTTCTATGCACAGAAAATTGAATTATCTCATTAGCAAATCTCTTGATTTGTGATGTTATGTGAGATTAAGGAATCTTTCGACACTAAACGGGGAGATCTGGATGACGTAAACAGTTAATTTTGCTAAAAACACGTTTTATGTACGCCTATTTAGCTTTTCTGAAACTCCGAAGAACTCTGGGACTTTGGCATTTACGTAAACCAGTTTTCTCACAACGTGTCGATAGTTCGGACACTGTCCGAACTCGGAGTTTGAGGAGCGTTACATATACTCTTCTGATGTCCTGATCATACACACATCATATCGTAGAGACGCAAGACCCGGGCAATGTTAGAGCAGTTGGTAGTTTCGTGCTATTAGGGCAGTGATGCAGCTCAAAGGGATAGCTTACCTTTGCATAGATGTCTATATATCACACAGAATCAATCAACTGTATTAATATTCATCATGTAACTATTGGTTTGCAATTATAATTGAGTATACTCAATGCCGAACAGCTTTGATAAACGTTTGATCACGAACTAATAATTCACATCGTTACTTGTCTATTTAATTTGTCGTTATTTGTATATTTATTTAATTCCGTAAGCGAATCGGTCCCCAAGAAATATCTCGAGCTAGGAAAAAGGTAGCTTGACTGTTGAGGATTCATTTTCAAGCTTAAGGCACAATGTCGTTGGGCTTAAGGCACAATCATACTTTTTTTAAATGCCACGTTTTTAAACGCACTAAAAAGTATAAAATAATTTATAAAATGTTGAGAGAATAAATACTTGTAAGATTTAAAACGAAAAACGTGGGGCGCATGCTGATTTACAATTAACTTCACGTATTGAACTATTATGATCTATGACATGCGCCCCACGTTTTTCGTTTTAAATCTTACAAGTATTTATTTTCTCAACATTTTATAAATTATTTTATACTTTTTAGTGCGTTTAAAAACGTGGCATTTTTAAAAAGTATTTTTATTTATAAATTATTATCTAGTTTTTAGTCTTTAATGTGTAAATATGTTAAATCTATTTTATATAGCCTCTTAATACTTAACCAAAACCCAAAACCTTATTATCTGTAATCAGATGTTTTATCTTTACTTTGAAATGATTGTTTTATATTTTTAGAATATCTCGGGAACAGAACCTGTACCTCTTAACCTCTGCTCTTCTAACTGTCAAATTTAAGTA